CTCGTCCCCTCCTCCCACCTCAAGCCCCACCCCCATCTCCTACTGACCAACCTCATCCCGCCCCCTTAACCTGTCCGTCCTCCCTGGACTGACCTATCCCCTTCCTAACTCCCTACCTACACTCACCTTTACTGGCTCCATCCCCGCCTCTTCGACCTGTTTGTTTCCTCTCCACCTATCCTCTCCTCTGTCCCTCTTCTATCCGCCTCCCACTCTCTCCCTATTTATTTCAAAACCCCCCTCCCCTCCCCCTTTTCTGATGAAGGGTCTAGGCCCGAAACGTCAGCCTCTCTGCTCCTATGATGCTGCTTGGCCTGCTGTGTTCATCCAGCCCTGCACCTTGTTGTCTCACTTAAAGTGTGTTCAATTCAGAATATCCTTTCAGCCAAACTCTACGTCCTCTGGACTTGCGTGCAGTGGCTTATTGTAACTGATATTGTCACATTGGCAAAGTTTGTTTCAAGTATGTGATATCTAAGCTGATCATGTCGAAACAAAATTTGTCAGTACTGAGTATTATGAAATGTTATTCTTGAACCTGCCACAAGGGAAAAATAACGTCACTCGCAAGTGAAACTAAGTTTAAGTATTAGATCCACATTTTATATGAAAACTCAGTTCACTGAGCTAATTTAATGTCCTATCTTAGAGCATGTTCATAACTAAAATAGTTTTATGGTAAGAAGGATTAGCACATAGGTTCGAATCATCCATGATTTGACACAAGGCGAAAATGTTTAAGATTTAGGTTTCATTTTCATATGGTGCAGAGCTATTACTTCACTTATACTGCTGTGGATATTCTGCTGTTTTGTTCGGTAAGTGAATCTTCAAATGTTATCATAAAACACTGGAATGTAAACTTTCTCTCATTCACAATCAAATTGGTGGGGAAGACTCAATCAATTTATTGCCGGTACATGAGAGATTTTTCCCCAATTGATCATGCACACACTTTGCAATGGAGTGCTGTGACTGCATTTAGTGTTCTGTAGTTAAGTCCAGAATCACGTCACAAACAAAATATATATTTTATCAAATGCAGACAGTGCATCAGTGCAAGGACTGATGCCAAGTGCAAAGGTGATAAACTAGGTGTAGCATTAAGAGAAATTTATCTTTTTCTCATGAGATGGCAGCAGGACTAGGAGACAGTTTCAATATCAGGAGATAAGGTGTGGCTATAACATTTCTTCAACGTTAAGTCAGACACTCAAATTGGAGATTGATTTATTGATTGAAGTGGAGAATTGAAATAGATATCAAAGGATTATGTTCACAAAGCTGGCATTTCTTACTGAAAACTGTGCTGGACTAATTTTGCTGCAGTTTTTTTGATGAAGTAGCAGAGAGGGTTGATTAGGAAAATGTCACTGATGTGCTGCACACGCATTTAATATAGCACCATATAACTGACTTGTTAGCAAAGTTGGAGCTCATGGATTGTAAAGGATAGTAGCAACATGGATCTAAAATTGTCTAAGTGACAGGAAATAGAGAGCATTGGTTAACGGATGTTTTGGAGGGTGGGGAAGGTTTGCAGTAGAATTCCAAAGGGTCAATGTTGGAACCTTTGCTTTTCCTGATATATTTTAACATTCTAGACCTTGGCATTTAGGCCATGATTCAAAAGTTGCAGCTGATACATAACTTGGAAATATAGTATATAGTAAACTGAGACAGATGGTGTAGAACATGAAAAGAACAAAGACAACTGGGTGGAGAGAGCTAATAGGTGATTAAATTAAAGGGTACAATTCTAAAGGGGGTGCAGGCATGGAGAGACAGTGGTGTTGATGTGTATGAGTCATTCAAGATGCCAGGACAGGTTAAGAGAGCAGTTAATAATGTATACAGCATCCTAGGCTTTATTAATAGGTACATAGATTACAAAAGCAAAGAAGTTACACTGAACTTGTATCAGATACTTGTTTGGACTCAGCAGAAGTGTTGTGTCCCCAGTATTGTGCCACAGTACCAGATAAATGTGAAGATGAGAAAGGTTTCAGGAATGAGAAATTTCAGTTATAAAAATAACATGACGTTATGTGGATGCAGTAATTGACATATATATCCAAGTTTTCTGATGACACCAAATGAGAGAAGATGGGAAATAATAATTAAGAAAGTCTCAGCTGAACATGAACAGACTGTGAGCAGGCAAAACTATGATATAAGGAAGTCAATGTGAATACTCGCGAGACCATCACACTGGACCAAAGAAAGATAAACCCAAGTGTTTCTAAGTAGCAATACAGACTAAGAACTGTGAATGAGCCTTTAAACAAGGCTACAACTTCAGAAATAATTTTTTAAGTTACAGGTACAAACATTAACTAATAAATCTAATGAAATGATAGCCTTTACCCCAAACGAAGTAATATGAATATGAAGTAATACATGGATACAATGAATAACCAAGGTCTTTTCTCCAGGGTAGGGGAGTCCAAAACTAGGGGTTTAAAGTGAGAGGAGAAAGATTTAAAAGGGACCTAAGGGGCAACTTGTTCATGCAGAGGGTGGTGTATATATGGAATGAGCTGCCAGTGGAAGCGGTGGAGGCTGGTACAATTACAACATTTAAAAGGCATCTGGATGGGTGTATGAACTGGAAGGGTTTAGGGGAATATGGACCAAATGCTGGCAAATGGGACTAGATTAATTTAAGATGTCTGATTGGTATGGATGAGTTGGACTGAAAGGTCTGTTTCCAAGCTGTACCTCTCTATGACTCTATGACTTTATATGGCCATTATGAATTAGGAGCAGGAATGGGCTTTTCAGCACTTCAAGCCTGCTCTGTTACTCAGTAAGATCATGGCCAATCTGATTAATCTCAAATCTACATTTTCACCTCCCCCAGATCATTTTTTACCCCCTCATTTAAGAATCTATCTACCTCTGGTGATACTTGAATTTTAAACAGTGACGTCTAGTGCTAGATTCTCCCATTAAAAGGAAACATCCTGTAGATATCTACCTGCTATGACCCCTCAGGATCTTATATGTTTCAGTCACCTCAAAAACTTCAGTGGATGAAGCCTAACCTGCCCCATTTTTCCTAAGACAAACCTCTGATGCCAGGTGTTAACGTTCAAATCTTCTCTCAACTGATTTTAATTCACTAACATCCATTCTTAAATAAAGTGACCAATACAGTACACTGTGTACAGATGTAGTCTCACCAGTGTCCTGTATAATTGAAGGATGACCTCCCTACTTTTGTATTCAATTCTCCTCATTCTAAATGATAACATTCTATTTGCTTTCGTAATTACTTGCTGTACCTGGATACTATTCTTCTGTGATTCATGCACCAAATCACCCAGATCTCTCTGTATCTCAGAGTTCTGTAACCTCTCACCATTTAGATAATATGCTTTTGTATTGCCATTATGGACATTTCATACTTTCCCACGTTATAATTTCTCCATTTATTACATCTTTGTCCAGTCATTTAACCTGTTTATATATATTTTTGTAGCCTCTTTACAACTCATTTTCATACCTAGTTTTGTCATCAGCAAATTTGGCAACTATAACTTGCATCCAATTAATCTAATTCGTGTACATTGTAAATGGTTGAGGTCCAGGATTGATGCCTATTGCACACCGCTTATTACATCTTGCCGAGCTGAAAAGGACCCATTTATGCTTATTATCTGCCTCTCATTTGCTAGCCAATCTTCCAGTCATAGCAATACACAATCCCCTACACCACAAGTTTTTATTTTCCACATGGAAGTTTCCCTTTTGGAAGGATGTAGGTTATGCTACCTCCATACAGGTTTCTGGTTTCATATTTCTCAACTAGAATACTGTACTCAATTGTTGGCACTTCTCTTCAAAGATACATTGGCATTGGAGTGAGTGCTGCACAGAATTTTTTTTAAGAATTTGCTTAAAGAGGTTAGATTTATTAACAAATCAGGTTGCATTTATCAGATTGTATTCGCTTAACATAGAAGATTAAGTGATAATATAATTGAGGTGTTTAAAAAGGGAGGGAAAGAGAAAGCAGGAAATGGCATAGCAGTTAGCTTAATATTTGCCATATGGAAAATGGATTATGGAAAATCTATTATTAAGGAATTGCAAAGCAATGAGACAATCTAAATTTTATCAGGCAGAGTCAACATGGCTTTGCAAAAGGGAAATCATGTTTGATGAAGGAACAAGTTACCAAGGTAAAGGAGAACTTGTGGATATGGTATACAAAATGATGACAGGCTTAGATCTGTTTTCTCCAACAGAGTAATCACTTACAGGGTGGGCAGGGATTTAAGGTGACCTGTATAGGGATTAGAGGAGACATGCGGAAAAACATTTTCACCCAGAAGGTAGTATGTTTCTGGAATTTGCTGCCCAATTTTGGTGATTGAGGCAGAAACCCTCCCTCTCGATCCAGACCTCAAAAGCAGTAACATGTCAGACCCTGGAACTGGCCCTGGAAAATGGGATTGAAATGGGAAGCTAGTTTATTCAGCCAGTGTAGACATGATGGGTTGAAAGGCCTCTTTCTGTGCTGTAACATTTCTGTGGTTCAGTCATTCTACTAGGATTTCCAGAGGCATTTGATAAGATGCGAAGATTATTAAGAACATGACATAATGACATGTACGGAGGACTAGTTACCTAACAGGAAACAAAACCGGCATAAATGAGTCCCTGTTAGCAAGATCAATGTTAAGGCCTCAACTACGTATAATCTGTATTAATGACTTGGATGAAAGAACCAAATATATGTTTGCTAAGTTTGATGATAACACAGGGATAGATAGAAGAGTAATTGAAGAGGACATGAGTAGGCTGCAACAAGATTTAGTTGACGTAAGTGAGCAAACATTTGGCAGATGGAGCATAATGTGGAAAAGTGTGAACTTGCCCACTTTGGCAGTGAGAATAGGAAAACAGTACAGTATTTAACTGCAGAGAGACTGAAGCAATAGGCAGCACAGAGAGATCTGAATGTCCTGGTACATGAATCACAGAAAAATTGCATGCAGGTGTGGGAAGTGATTGGAAAGGCAAATGGAATGTCGTTGTTTACGGCAAATGAAATAGATTATAAAAAATAAGCTGTGAGTATTGGGAAAACTGAATTTATTTCACCTCCCCACCAAAATTTCCATTTCCTAGCCATCAACTTCAACTCTCTCCGTGGTAACTGAGATTGAAATTATCTGTTCACAATCATGGTGATTATATTTGACTGTAAGATGAACTTCTGACCGCATATCCATACAATCACTAAGACCGTTTATTTCCATCTCCTTAACATCACCAGTCACGAATCATGCCTTAGCTTATGCTGCTAAAATCCTCATCCATGCCTTTGTTCTCGAGACTCGATGATTCAAATGCACTGCCGGCTAGTCTCCCACTTCCGAGACTTCATAATCTTAAAGTCAACCAAAACTCTGCTACCTGTCTCCTAATTCACATCAAATTTCACTCCCTCATCACTCCTGTGTTCACTGACCTACATTGGATTCACTCTTCCCATGCCTTCACCCTTGCCTATTGCTACAGCCTATTCCAATCTCCAACACTTAGAGATATCTGTATTCTTGCAATCGTGTCTCTTCATAATGCCTGATTTTTATCACTCCACCATTGCTGGTAATGCCTTCACTTTTAAGCTGATCCTTAAAATAAACTCTCTCTTTTGATCAGCTTTTGCTCATCTACCTTAATGTATTGTAATGATGCTCAGTGTCAAATCTTGTTTGAAGCATCTTGGGCTGCTTTACTGCATTCAAGGCACATTAGAAATGCAAATTAGTGTTATTATGGAAGTCTGTAGTTATTCCCCCTC